GAGAGGGAGAGAGAAAAAGAAAAACTTGAATCTTAGTGGATGGCAGACCGATTTATACCAGTGCAGAAAGGAAATATAATGATTTAAAATTGGAATTTTATTGTATTATGTTTACAAGCTATTATACCTCCAAAACATTTTTTTTTTGAATCATCAGAATTTTCAAATAATGAACTTGATTTATAAAACTTGAACTGAATAGAAAACTCCTGGTGAGAATAGTAACATGCTGTTAATCACTTTATTTCAGAATTTTATTGTTTCTATTGCAAAATTGACACATCTTGATGGTGGAAGTGTTTTTGGCAGAGACTTGAAATCTCATTGCATTCATGAAAGCCTTTTTGGTTGTTTTCCATTGAAGTCAATGAGAAGTGTTTCCCAAAACATGCTCCAAGATATTGCTCTCAAAGAAGTCTGTGGTCAAATACGTTGGGAAATGCTGCTGTTGAAATGCTGCATTTACTCAGTGACGTCAGAGACATACATCAGCATAGAAAGCTCTGCCGTCAAATAACCCGTATTGGGCTTAGTGCATTTCCCAATTTAATGACATCAGAACTTTTTAGTTGACCTTTGTTAAAATCCCATAGAACATCAACTCTGTATGTAATGTGGGCCGGGAGGAATATTGTTTTTAAATAAACCATGAGAGGTTGTCTGTGCTTTCTGAAGATGTTTTTGGTTCTGCATGCTAAGCACATGATTGACCCCTGAGCAGCACTCCTGGTCCCTCTGAAGGCCTATCTGCTAAGTGAAGGCAGTCTTGCCCCAAAATTGTGGGACCCTGGTGGTGATCTAAGTAAATTCCACATCTGGATTACGTTTAATTCTCTAAGGCAAAATATTATTTCTGAGTTCTTGTGCTGAGAGGGTGAGATGGAGTGGGGGACGGGGGTGATGAAAGCAGTGTAGCATGGCCTCGTTTTCAAGGGGTTTAAATTTTAAAGATACAGAAGACTTGACTACAAGGCTCCCCAGCTGTGTGTGCCAGCAGGCGCTAAGCTGTTTTGTGGGACATAGGAACCCTGGAGCGTTAGAGGCAGTGAGGGCCAAGTGCTGAGGAATTGACAGAGTTGAGCCTTGAACTGGTCTTGACGAGTCGCCTGAGGGGTCAGGCAGAGCTGGGGGACAGAAGAGGGTCAGGGGCATGCAAGTTGCATGAGCTGTGTGGTAAATACACCTGGTGCAGAGAGATCAACCCTCCTGTCCTGGGAGCGGGGAGGAGCTTCAGTGTCTTGCACAAGTAGTGCCACAGTCAGGGTAGAGCCACATCTGCTCGTTTTCTCTCCAAATCCCGAGACCTGCAAACAAGATTACTTGGCTGGCTTTGAAAACMTCCAGTTGTTTTCAGTTTATTTCTTTGGCATACACAGAAAAATCTACTTCCCCTTCCAGAGGTTTGTGCAATTAAAAACAAGGGCTTTTTGGAGAATGAATGAGAGCAGGCAGCCGAGAAGGCTTGGGAGTTACACTTTTTCAAGCAAGTGGCAGTCAAATGTTTGCTAAGGAGTCGGCAACCATGCTAAGGAGTCGGCAACCACACCTGCGTCTTGGGGTCATTCATTGAGGTCTGTTTGAAGGAATGTTCTTCTTGATTCACTAGACAGTTGGTTAGCAGAAACACTGCCTCCTTCCGCAACAGAGCCACACAGGTTTCTCAACAATAGGGACGTGGCTTTGACTGATGTCATCAGCAAAGGGCCACAACCTTAAATCTACACCCAGGCAGGGCCACTCCACAGCAGGAGCACAGGCTGAGAGAGTGGAAGTTCTGAGGGAGGCCTTGGTAGCGAGTTCATTTTCGTTTGAACACCATAGAGTGTGCTTCCACAAATTAGGCAGCTGTGGTGTTCCTGGGCAGCATTATCTTATGGGGCCAGCATTGTCTGTGTGTCTGTCATGGACTTAACTGTCACTCTGGTATATGACTGTATTTAATATCGATGGTATGGAATCACATAGGTGTTTACATGAATCTTCTGCATCTCTTTCTTTTCCATATCGTTAAGAGGTGAACRTGGGCACATTAAAGTTTTTAAGAGTTTACTTATGCAGATAATGCTTCATGAATTGTGCGGCTCCACAGGGGAAGTGGCTTGGGGCTCCACCAAAGAAACACCAAGGGAAAGCATTTGCAGGGTGAACTTGAGGCTGAGCAGAGGAATTACTTGCTTGGTTCAAGTTGGAGGAGTTGCCTTATTTGAACTGTCCTGGTTGGAATGTTCCTGGTTAAATAACTAATGCTCAGCCTCTTTCGATTGTCTGGACTTGGTTCATTTTCTAAATGTAGAAGCCCCAGAGCACTGGCACCATCTCCTCCTAGTGGCCTCCTGTTCTTTTTATAGTTTACCTGCATATACATGAAACCTTGAAACCTTTTATTTTTACATTATAATATCACATGAGTTTCTATCAAAGAAGAGCAAACTGTATTTGATTATGCTGTCAATACTACTCACACTGGGAAATTTTTTTTTTTTTCACAATTACCAAAGATTGACGTGCAACCTCCAGGGATTTGGGCAGTGGACTCTGGTTCTGCCTTAGAACCACAGTCCACTTCTGCTCATCACCTGATTGACATCTTAAGAAAGGTGGGCCAGTTAATAAAGCACAGTTGTGAGGCCCTCCGCGGCKCTCTCTTCTTTAATGGGACTCCTGGTTCTAAGCGAAATGATGACTGCGWGTGGGGAGAAGCAGATGAGCCTCGCGGTTTCCATTTTCCCTGCTACCCAGCCCCCACCCGTTGGTTATAAGCAACACAAAGGACCCTGGCGGAATTGTGGTGTTATTAGCATATGTTGTGCTTCCGGCGTGAAAGGACTACCCTTTTAAACTACTTAGAAGGCTGAAATAGGATTAGGTTTTCTAAGAAGAATGAAAAAAGCCTATTAGAATGTCRGGGAAGAAAGGATCATTTTTTTATTGGCAGCTAACAAGATCAATGTGCTGATACTGGCTGCCAACCAGCCCCGCTTCCTGGCTGCTGGGGGCAAGTACTGTGTGGCTCTAGTGTAAAGGACACACACAGGAACTCTGGAGAGCTCCCTGGGATCTAGCTAGCCTGTCCCACCTCTGTTGGGTTACRTGGTTTATCAGGAAACCTTAAAAGGAAACTAGACAATCAGTCCTCCACACCTGTGGGTTCTGCATTCTCAGATTCAACCACCAACAGAWCAAAAATATTCAGGAAGAAAGTGTGCCTTTTTTTAAAAAATCTTGTCATCATTTGCTAAACAATACAGCATAACAACTATTTACAGAGCATTTAGATTATATTAGGAAAGCTAGAGATGATTTTAATTATACAGGATGCATACAGGTTACATGCAGATGTTACACCATTATGTGTAAAGTAGTTGAGCATCTGTGGATTTTSTATCAACCCCTCATAGATACCTAGGAACGACTGTGTCTTACTGACGTGGTGCATGCCGTTTCAGGTGATTGCTTTGTTGTAACCCAAGTGACATTTCCTTCCWTTGTTACATAAAGCAAGCAAAATGAGAAAAGTCCTAGTCAAAAATACAGTGCCGAGGCTGGGGTGTAGCTTGGTGGTAGAGCATTTGACTCCCAAGCACMAGGTCCTGGGTTCARTCCCCATCCCAGGGACAAAGCGTGTAGTGTGTGAGGTGTTCATTATCCTCCTACCTGCTCTGAGCAGATGCCTGCCAGAGCAGTGTTCCACTTAAGGAAATTTTCTTGGCAAAAACCTCAGACTTTGTATACAGAATGAAAATTCCTGACCTTTTTAGAATTAAAAACACTCATGCATTTTTTACTCCAACATCTATAAATATTTATCTCGTTTTAAGGGATAGACACACGAATATGTTGAGACTTGCTGGATACCAGTTATTCTAGACCAAAAAAACCTGAAGACAAAAATTGCGTTCCCATTGTGCTYGTCYAAGATAATGACGTAAGGCCCAACARCCCGTTTCCTCTTGGCTAACTSGTGGAATTCCAAGAAAATGGCTTTTCAGCTCTGCCACAATAGGAATTTTGTGATTTTTCTCTGCATTTAGAGATGGAGGATGTCCACCTGACTGTGGGGTCAGAGGGCATTTCCCCTGCTGCTGAGYTCTGCGGGATTGTCCAGACCAAGGATGAGTAAAGGTGCCATGCAGGGGCCTTTCTATCCCATGCCTTCTGCCTGGGAAATCTATTGTCATGTCCCTGTGACGCTGTCCCTGTGAGGGTGGAGTAAAGCCCTGGGAAATAGTCATTTCAGTTGATGAACGGTGATGATCACAGGTTGACCAAGAATGACATCGGGAGGGCCAAGAACTGCCGTAGGAACCCCCACCTTAGAAATCTAAGACCAGCTCCTTGGTTTCTTCGCGCATGGGAAAATACTTACAAAGCAAGGCAACCTAATATTCTGTGTCTTTGAAAACCTGATCCTCATCCGAGTTYCCTCCCGGTGTGTTTTCAGTGCTTGTGGAGTTATTAACAGGGAAAAATGGTCATCATACAAAGWGTGTGTATGTGTGCTTGTTGACAGTGAAAGGGGATAACTGGCTTTTAAGTTTCTATTCTATTATCATTTAGAACCATGCTTTTCAAATGAGAAATGCTCTAATACATAATAGTTTGTCAAAGGAAAAATGCATATATATCAATGCCAATTTTAAGAAAAATGTTAAATGTGAAAACTGATTTAAAAGCGCTGGACAATACGCAATGCTCATCCATTGCCGTTTCTTAGAATCATTAAAAACGCGTCCCAGTGACAGTCTGGGTCTGCTCTGTTAAACCAGGACAGGGGAAGTTCATGACGTGTGGGCCTTTCCTTTCAGGCAGTCCTTTCCTTCAGGCAGGGATGTGTTTGGATGGGCCCCTGCGCCTCAGGAAGTGGAGTGTTTTGCAGATCTGTGACCACGGTGCTGAATTCACCTTCTGTTTTTTCTCTTTCATTGTTTCCCCCGATGTGGCTGCTGTGTTGACCACCCTCTGTATCTCTGCCGCTGAAATGTTTTCTTTCCATCATTAAGGAAACCTCCCAAGGTAAGCTCGGATGTGAAATTGGGCATGTGTACTGGCTTGGTGTGCAGAAATGGAGGGTCTTTAACTCGCTGCAGTAATCTACATGTAAGAGCCTGGTGCCCTGGCGCCCTCCTGTAATCCCTTTGGAGGCCGAGGCAAGAGGGTCACCCATTCAAGACCAGCCTAAGCCCTAAGGATCTTAGTGAGGCCCTGTCTCAAAATAAAATATGGAAGGACTGAGGATGTGTCTCAGTGGTTAAGTGCCCCTCGGTTCAATCCCTAGTTCCAACAAAACACACAAACAAACAAACAAAAAAAAAAAACCCAAAACAAAAATCAACATATGCTACCCACCTGTCTTCTCAGGAAGAAAAAAAGTAGCATTCTAATTAAAACTAAAGCCATGAGCAGRCAACTCATGTTGATAATAGCGCCCAGCTGGAGTGCCTCTATGGAGACTTTCCCACACATCCGTTCTCGGCAGGAGGGCCCTAGTCCTCAGACTGGCCTCTCAGGTGCTTGTTCTGTTTTGTTGATGAGGACACAGGGTCAGCAAGATTCCCAGGGTGAGTGGGTGGGGACCAGAAGGCAGAAGGACAGAAACTGCATCTCAGAATGAGAGCGTGTTAATGGTGATATGGATGGGGCAGGCTTTCCTTTCTGTGCCCTGCTAAGAACAGCTAATATCTTCAGAGGTGACCAGCGTCTGAGTGATTGAAGGTTGATTTTGTTGCCAGTGAGCATTCTGTTGAGTTTCAGAGGGAGACTTGGCACCAAAAATAAGAAGTGTGACCAGAGTCCAGCCCGTGATGCTGATGAGGGCCACAGTTCTTGAGATGAGCTTAGGACAGGCTATTCCTACACATGATGAGTGGTCAGAGTCTAAGATGCTGGGTGAGGGCCTGGGATCCAGACAGGCCAGGCTTACTTTCCCTTGGGTTAGGAAGGAGAATCCAGTTTATAGCTCTTGGATTATGGAAACCCACTAAAATGCTATTTCATGCTTTGTACTTACTAAAGGCAACTTAGGGGAATTACCTTTGGCATTGAGACTTTCAACTCCAACAAGGAAGGTATGCCTTGAACAAATGCTCTGAGATGCATTAAGAAAGAGGAAATATGTTGTTATAGAAGTATGCACCAGGCAGGCATGCTGTCCAAGTCTGGGGACCAGTATAAATTCTTCCTGAGTTGATATGAATATTATCCATGAAATTTGCAACCTAGAGAATATCTTTATTTCTGATAGATGCATGCCCCTTATGTAGCCCTTCTTTCCCTTACCACTGGTTCCCAGAAATTTCAAAACATACCGTCAATCTCATGATATATTGACTTCTTTCCCCACGGGGGCCGGCGGGGCGGGGGAGCAGGAAAATACTGAACAATTCCATATACTGCTGCTTAGTGAAGAAAAAGAACTGAAATTGAAAAGAGGCACAAAAATGTTTTTGCGAGATCACTATCACGTTACACACAGAAGTGTTCTGGTGACTTTCTAGCCTGTGGCTGGCAACCTCCGTTTTTGCCAAGTGTTCTTGACGAGAGTTTCTAAGAAGTGTCACAAAATTTTCAAGATGAAATGAATGTTCCGTTGTCATGTTAATATAGCTTTTAAATATTTAATACATACAAAAAATGGGTATTTTAAGTATGTCTTRTAGACATGCACTATAAGGCACATCTGGAAAGAATAAAGATCGATTTGAATTCAAATACACGATGCAATAGAATAACATTTACAATGACACAGGATGTTGCAAACAAACAGGAAAAGGAATGATGCTTTTGACGATGCTTATAGAAGAATGGAATTTGTGCTGGTGCTGGTGGTGCAGGCCAGTAATCCCTGCTCCCCAGGAAGCTGAGGCAGGAGGATCACTTGAGCCAGGACTTTGGCCCTGGGCAACACAGACCCCAACTCAAACAATTTTTAAAATTTATTTAAAACAATGTGATTTGGGCATGAATAATCAGCAAAGACATCAGAAAAGACAGGATTATTTGGTCTAACAAATAATTATTCCAGGCAGGGACAGTTGCTGCACAGATTAGACTCAATCTTAGCCTTCTAATGGAGGTAGGAATACATGCCCACGATAATATAAAATCAATTGTATTAAAAGCCACAGAGACAAGATATGTGTGAAATTCATAGGATAAAAGTTCTTGTTCTGACTTTTGCAGTCAGAAATGACAAATTAGGAGCCAGTCACAGTGGTACACATCTGTAATCCCGGCAGTTTGGGAGGCTGAAGCAGGAGGATCGCAAGTTCTAGATCAGCCTCAGTAGCTTAGTGCAGCCCTGAGCAATTTAGCAAGACCCTGTCTCAAAATAATAAAAGGGCTGGTGGTGTTGCTCAGTGGGTAAGCACCCTTGGGTTCAATCCCCAATACAAAAAAAAAAAAAGAAATGACAGATTAGGTAATCAGTGTTACCTCTCCCACTGGAAGGATTGTTAGAAGTAGAGAAATTGTTTAARAACCTGTGCTTAATGGCATTGGAGATTTTCTAAATTTAGTGAAGAATTACTAGATGAAGTTCTAAAAGGAAGTAAAAATTTGGATGAACATAGTATTTTGGGAAGTACTTTTCAAAGGAATAAATGATCTCTAGCCACAGTAGTGTTGCCAACAGTTATGTGAGACCCACGGGGGACAGAAGTGTTAGAGTCCTTGTCCTGCCAGAGGTGGGGTCCTTGGTAATCTTCTTGTTCTTTTGGTTGGCAAAATGGATTGAGATTCAGACTTGGGTTATGAATGAGAAATAAAAGTAAATCAGCCCTCACATGGATTGCCAAGGAGCTGTAAGTTATCTGTGTGATCCAGGAAATCTCACGCTATAAAATTGGATCAAAGTTCATCTAAATTTTCACTTCCTTCTAGAACTTCATCTAGTAATTCTTCACTACCAGATGCAGGTGCCCACAAGTACTGAGGGAAGCAGGTGTAACCCTAAGTCATTCAGGATTCCACAGACATTTTTAAAAGTACAATATCTGGGGCTGGGGTTGTGGCTCAGTGGTAGAGTGCTTGCCTAGCACATGCGAGGCCCTGGGTTCAATCCTCAGCACCACATGAAAATAAGTAAAAAAAAAAATAAAAGTATCGTGTCTAACTACAACTAAAAAAAAACATATTAAAAAAAAAGTCTAATGTCTGGGGCTGAGGGTTTTGCTCAGTGGTAGAGCACTTGCATAGCATACATGAGACGCTGAGTTCATTCCCCAGCAACACACACACACACACACAAAGAGCAATATCCAGCACARAACCAAAGATAAAGAAGATGTATGACAAAATAATGTGACATAAAACAAGAGCTAGCAGAAAAATAAAAAGTAGAGATATTTTTTATACTTTACCACAAATGCCTCGGGTGTTCAAATGAATAGACACAGACTTTAAAATAAATATACTTACTATGTTTAAGGAGATAAAACAATAGATTGAAGAATGTTCAAGAGAACTAAAATTTATACAAACATTTGGAAAACAACCCAATAGAAATTCTCAATCTGAAAAACTCAAAATYAAGGACTTAGTATTAGAGTTTAACGGCAAGTAAATCCAGCTGAAGAGAGAATCAAATAATTGGAAGGTAAGTTGGCAGAAAATATTAAAATGTTAAAACAARTGGTGTGGGRACAACTAGATATCCACATAAAAAGAAGTAAACACAAACCTTACATTCYTCAYAAAAATTAACTCAAAGTGGATCATAGACCTAAATATAAAATGCAAAAATTATAACACTTTTAGAAGATAAGCAGAAGAGAAAATTTAGTTGATCCTGGGTTTGGTGAYCATCATTTAGACAGAATGTCAAAAGCATGACCCATGGGGGCAAAACTAATAAGTGGAACTTGATTGAAAGTAAACACTCCTCTGCCAAAGAYGGTAAGAGAGTGAAAAAAAATCTTCAAACTAAAAAATATTTGTAAAACACACCTGATAAAGGACTTATATACAATGAACTTTCAAAGCTCAGCCGTAAGAAAACAACAACTTGATTTAAAAATGAGCCAAAGATCTGAATAGACATCTCCCCAAAGACGACTTACAGGTGGCACATAAATGTGTAACCGTATGTTCAACATCAGAGAGAAATGCACATTAAAACAATGAGATGTCACTGCCTGCCTATTAAAATGACTGAAATCGAAAAATCTGACAGCATCCAAGCTGGAAGGGTATGGAGCCTCGGGAACTCTGGTGCAAGTGACAAGTGACACAGCKGCTGCAGTTTCTTACAGAGCCAGCCGTGTTCTTTCCATACAACCCAACGTCACTTGAGTTATTTACCCAGATGAGATGAGGCATGTCTGTTCAAAATCCCACACAACAGCTTCACTCCTATTTTTTAAAGCCTGGAAGCAACCAAGATGTCCTTCAGCAGRTGAAGGGTAAGCCAACGCTAGAACTTCCATGCGGTGGAATATTACTCGGTGATAAAAAGGAAATGAGCTCTCCATCCATGAACAGACATGGAAGGGCCTTAAACCCGTGTGGCTAAGTGAAAGAGCCAGTCTGAAAAGGCTGTACGTTGTGCAGTTCCATCTCTGTGATATTCTGGAAAAGGAAAAACTATACACTCATTAAAAAGACCACTGGGTCCCCAAAGTCAGTACCCGMAGCTCACGGGAGCTGCTCCAGGACTGTTGAACCAACGGAGGAAGAGGAAGAGGACGAAAGGYAGGGAGGCAGCTGGGCCGGCTGGGGCAGGAGGACTCCCACCAGCACAGGAGAAAGAAGGTTCAAGTCCCTCGGCGATGGACGGAGCCACTTTGCCAGAGAGTGGGCTGGAGAAAGCCTGCTGGGCTGAGTCCATCCTCGGGAGGACCCAGCCGCCTGGCTGGCCTGGGCCCTGAGGATCCCTCTGTGCACGTCACCCTGGCCTGGCCTGGAAGGGGCAGACTCACCATTGAGATCCTCTTGTGGTTGATTTGTGATCTTTCCCAGGAATATTCACATAATCTGTTGGAACAGTGGTTGAAATTGTGTCGATCATCGTGCGACGG